TTAATATATATATATATATATATATATTAAAAATTGATTAATATATCAATGAAATATGTACTATGTAAAATATTTTTCTCATTTTTTAATCGATTGAGCATTTATAATTTGAGAATCAGTATATATCATTTTTCGTAAAGGAAAATGGCGAGAAAAATGATTAAGTCATAGAAAAGATATAGATGGTTCAAACATTCTATATATTTTCCCACAGATTTTCTACATAATCTAAATCTAACAATTTGCAAATTCCATTTTTCATTTCTTGTCTGAATGCGATAAATGCGATTGTAATGTTATGTATTTAGTATTATATTAAATTGAACAGATTTGGATGTCACGGTAAAGAGCGAATGTTTCATAAGTGCTTAAAACAAAATCACAACATACTTGTAGATGTGGAATGAATAAAATATATAATGTCGAAATATTTTAAATAGACGATATATTTTAAATAGACGATAAATTTTTTTGTTATCTTGTCATCTTGTGGAAAGTGACTTGATAACTCCAATAAATTGATCGGTAATTTTTAATATTACTTTAAGGAATTAAGTTTCTTTTTAGATTTGATTTTTTTAGACTTTTTTTCTAGAAAAGGGTCTTAATCTGTTTTAATGTCTGCAAAATATACGTCATTTGGTATTGTATGACATTATTTTATATTATTTCACAAAGTGATATCGCGTATTGTGAAAGATGAAATCAAGGAATATCAGATCAGCAAGGTGTTATTGGTAAAGACAATCAAGATCGTCGCGCGCATGAACTTCCCAGGATAATCCCCTCCCCTGTTAGCCCACATTTCTTATTTAACGTGTCATCAGTGGCGCATTTCTGCGGCTAGTATAATTTTATACATCGCGAGTTCAGTACTGCGATTCTCGTATCACGTGCCATAGGAGAAATTTAATTTATTCGATCCCATTAAAGCAATCAGTATTTCACCCTCGAAGAAAATTTTATATTTATTTGTGGTTTTTTTCGTGAGAAATTAGTGTATAAACATACATGAGAAATCTATACTTTTGTTATTTCTTTTTCTAAGAAAAAGGAATTAGTGATCAATGTGTATACATAATGAATACGTGAAACATTTAGATTTGTTTTTATATAGATTTTTTTTTAATTATTTTTTTAAAATTATATTTTTAAATTATATATAATGCATATACTTAAAACATTACTTGATTTATTGAGCAAATCTTATCATAAGAAAAAAAGCTTAATGATTATGTGTTGTATGAAATCTGAAATATTTAAATTAATTTGTAATTTCTATTGAAATTTTTTTACGTGTTATAAGAAAATTGTAACAACACAGGTGCATAGAGCTTCTCAAATTTTTTATACCATTCCTTGTGAGAAGAAATAAAATGATTGATATCAATTGTTTCTAAATTTTATCTAGTAAACGGACATTATTTTATTTGGACACGCGTTCTTCAGCGTTCTGACAACAATCAAATGTATCATTCTCGTTTCGTTCAGAGATGGATAAAATATTTATCGTTTTATTATCCCTCGATATACATTTGATATACGTCAGGTTTATTTACGGCAATTCAATTAGCTGTTCGAAGTGCGTCATCGTTTAAAAAATAAAACGATTGCGCGATTTCACAAAGTTGCAAGAATAATTTGTAAAATCTTTTTATAAAATCTTCTGTCGATCATTCTTCTATCGAATCTTCAGTTATCGATGATTGTTAAAAATGCTGGCAACATTTTTACGTAATATTGATTCTCCTACTTGAGATGCGCGCATAGGGTTTGGATTACTATTATTTTTAGATATTTTGATATTATTAACAACACATTTTAGTATTATTAATAATATCATTCGCTCATAATTTTTGACTTACTAGTTAAAAAATCATAAATAATGTATAATTTTCACAATTAGTTTTTTTCTGAATAAAATTTTATATTAAAAATATTTTATTTTACATTTTTACATTTTTGTATAGAAAATTATTTCTTTGTTAGTTGTATTATATTTTATTAAACATTCTGTGCATGTGTATATATATATATATATATATATATATATTTATGCTAACTATTTTTTAATTTATAGCAGATAAGAATATTCAAAGAGAGATTCGAAATATGCAGATGTACTACGAATATTTCTGAATAGGTATTTTTGAATAATATATTAGTGATTGCGTGATAAACATGTAAACGAAAGGTGGGAGAAATAAAATTATTTGAATGAGACAAACTATATAGAATTATTTAAGAAAAATTATTTAAGTATTACGTTTAGCTGAAATCGAGAGTCAATATTTTAAGCTGTCTTAAAACGAATTAAAATACCAAATATTTGAATATAATGTTATAATAAAATTGATTGATCGATCTCTAACGAACACCTAATGTCGGACGAAAACGACATGTATGAAGAAACTGACTTTAATTTAAACGAAAGTACTCGGCTTGTTGCCTCATTGTCGTTGCTTAAGAATATCAGTCAGAATTCCTTTGAGCTGCAGCCTCGTAATATCTCGTGTAGCAACACAGACTTTGATTGCCAATTAATATTATCCAGCAATTCGAAGGAATGCGTTTGTATGATTCATCGTGTATTGTTGCAGGTGATTTTTTTGAAATATTTTAATTTTTATATGCAAGATGTGTCTTTCTTCTAAATCCTAGAGATTTTTTAGCTAATTTTGGGATAACTTTCTCTTGGCAGAGATATCAAAGGAAATAATTTTTTGTAATTTTTTATATTGTATGTTTCCTTTGAAATGATTACATTAAGAAAGACGTATGAAACTAGTGAATAGAAAAGAAAATAAAAATTATTGTTATAATTAGAAAACAAAATTTTAAGATTTTTTAGCTGCATCATACACTTTTTTTTTTATAAAATAGTTTTTTTTTTTAATAAGCGCGTATTCTTAACCTTTTTATACAAAATAATTTTTTTCTATTAATGTCCACTATTTTGTTACAGGAATTTTCACAATTAACAAAAGAACTGGCAGCTGCGCGGGAGAGCATCTTGGAAAGAGAAGAGGAAATATCCGAATTAAAGGCGGAACGAAACAACACACGTGTACGTATTGAATTTTTCTAATATTTCTTTACGATTTGACAAGATTTTTTTAGATTTCTTTGAAGCATAAGAATAACAAAAAGATTTAATAGTTAATAAAAGAATTTGCGGATAACAAGTTAATAATGAAAGATTAATTGGCTTAACTTATGATTAATGTAATATAATTTGTATTATATATGTGTATGATACTTACAGCTCCTACTGGAACACCTAGAGTGTTTAGTGTCACGACACGAACGATCGCTCAGAATGACAGTAGTGAAACGTCAAGCTGCCGCGCAATCTGGTGTATCATCTGAAGTAGAAGTGCTCAAAGCTCTGAAAAGCCTTTTCGAGCATCACAAAGCTTTGGACGAAAAGGTATAATATTTATTTTATTAAATCTTGATCATTTTTAAATGTATCCTCTTCCTTAAACACATGTTAAATTAATGTAATATCTCCGTATCTTTCTATTATTTATACATATATTCGCAATTAGAGATTGAATGTTGCTAATGAAATTTTAGGTACGTGAACGTTTGCGCGTGGCGCTTGAAAGAAATACGAGTCTTGAGGAGGAACTAGCCCATACCAAAGATGAAGTGAGTTTTGTGTTATTTTTGGTTGAAATATGAAAATAGATAATTAAAAATGTTTCTTTAGCAAAGAATATTTATTATCTGAATAATTAAAAATTTTCAAGGAATCTTTTTCCGCCTAAGGAAATCAAAATTTTTATAAATTTATTTCTTATTGTATTTATTTTTGAAATAAAAGGATGAAAATTTTGCTCCACATTAAATATCTATAAAAGTTTATAAGAAGTTTTTGTTTCTCATGAAGCATTATGTTAAGATTCTTAAAAATTATGATTTTTATCATCATTTAATAAAATATGATTACAGCTCCAGCAATATAAAATAAGCGGGCATCCACCGAAAGCTTTAGAGGATAGACCAAAAGAAAACGGGCAGGCGGATGAAGGTCAACAACAGAATAAGGTATCAAAAATTATATTGATATGATCAGACCATGTGTGCATAAACATTCACAAATACATGCGCTTTTCATATCTCGCATCAGTCAGGGATAACTGGAAGTGTTTAAGATTTGTCTGAGAGTCGTAAAATGCATTTGTGGAATTTTTTTTTCACTTTGCATGCTCATGTTTAGCATATATATATATATATATCCTCTTTTCTTCACTTGTTGACGTTTTACTTGGAACTTTAATTTTTTTATATTATCGAAGCCTATACTTGTAAGCTTCTAGTTTGTGAGTGAGAGCCGTGAATCGAATCCGCGATATTGGTTAGTATACAATTGGTGTACAATTATATTTTTACTGCCATATGTATTCAAATGCTGATGCAATTTCTCGTCACTAAATTATCACTGACGTCATAATTTTATAATTGTATCATTTTATCATTTCATTAAAACATTTTCCATGTTTCCATTTTCCATATTGCATAATTTTACGTATGATCACATAAAGGATTTTGGATAAAATTCTCATGAAAATTTACAATAAATATACTTATTAAGAGTATAGCACTTAAACACAGGTGCATTCTTGTTTTGAATATAAATTATTGCGACAAGAATCACTTTTCATTTTTTATTCATCGATTCGCTGCATCCATGAGAATGTATCTACCGTGCATGATGGTCGTACAGTCGCGTAGTTGTGTAGTATAGACGTAGTTTTTGGGAATTGCGCGGCGATGCAGGAGAGGCAATGCGAGCGAGGCATTCTGAATGTAGTGTTGTGATCGGGCAGAATGAGACTGAGCAGGCAGCAAGCCAGCCACAGCAGCAGCAGTACCAGCAACATCAATCACAACAGCAGCAACAACAACAATTGGTACAAAAGCCAGGTACAGAGAAGTCCACTGAAGTCGGCAATAGACTGAGCAATGGGAGTCTTGATCCAATCGAGCAGGATTCAGCAGTGCGAGTAATAGATTTGCAAGCTACTCTTGATAAGCAGGTATGAATCAGTACAGCAGGACGGATAAAAAAAGTCCAACTGTTAACACAGAAACTTCAGGTAGCTTTTTATCTCTATATGTATATCTGTGAATATATATATATATATAAAAATCACAATTTTTATAATTTTATTCTGGCAATACACAAACCTAATTTTTAATTTCTGTTTCTTTGGCACATACACACGCGCATCAAATACACAAAAGGAGGGAGGGGCGAGAAGAGGCAGGGAGTTATTAGAAATTACTATCCAAATTAATTTTTTATTATTTCATTGAGTTTAAAGGAAAATATATAAGACAAAGTTGCGTTATTTAAATGAACAAATACGATAATGAAAATGTTTTATATCATATCTTTGGAACATATTAACATTATGATATCTTTTTAATAGAAACATTACAATATAACTTTTTTAATATAATTTGATTTTTTTGGTTATTCTGCATATCTTATAGTATGAAGAACATGAAATGAATAGTTATCATAAGATATTTATTTTTTGATTATCTTACTTTTTAATGCAAAAAAGAAAAAAACAATAAGATAAATCAATTAGTAAAGAAAATGTAATGTGCTTTTATAAAATGTATGTATTTAGAATATAAGATACAATATATTGAGAATATAAGATACAATATTGATAAATGGCAATGTTTTTAGTGATTTATTGTGTGTATTGTGTGTGCGCGCGAGCGTGCAAGAGAGCGATATTATTATGAATTTTGCATAATGAATCGATCACTTTTTTTTAAGCACAATATTGAATATATTATTTGAATCCGAAAGAAATGTACATTTAATATTTTATGATGTTACTTTAATAATTACTGTAAGTATATTTCAATTATTTGAGTACTTTTAATCTTTTTATCGTTCAGATATTTCGAAAGAAATTTTTTGTTTTATTAAACAATTTAACGAAAACATTTAAATAACATCATTTAAATACATCACTATATTTACCTTGATAGACTGCATGACAATTTTTTAATATAATGTAGATTATTATTGTTTGTCTCATTAAGAATATTGTTGTAAAAATGTGTTTATTTTAAATTTTTAATATATCATTACAAATTTATGACATTTCAAAGTATCTTAAAAGCTAGGTTATTTAATGACAAATTTTATTATTTTAAATTTGGAATCGCGATTTTTCTTCAGTGAAAATGTTGAAGAAAACTATTATTTATTATAATTTTCTAAATTTTTATACATTATGTAGCCTTGTAATTGTTAGATTTAAATTACAATTCTATTATCAAATTAAATTTCTTTCCTAAAATTATAAAATCATTTTAATAGTCTATCTGTACGGACTA